CTCGCGAGATCACGTTGTGAAGTGATTGGTCATTAATTATCCTGATGAAGGCGGCAGTGGTCGCTGAAAATTTGATCTCTGTAAACTGTGTGTTGGAATAAAGTTCAACCTTTTACTATAAATATTCCACTTCCTTTCCTCCTAGGAGCACTCGGCCTGCTGAAGTCCAGACCGAACCCTGAAGACGCCAACAAGAAAGAGCTCCTGCCCGCCGCCATTGCGGATTCCGAAGTCGGGTGTGCCGAATTTACCGGGAACGAGACGTGCTCGCAGGCTGGGGACGTCCGTGTGAACGAGCAGCCGGGACTGACCTCCATGCACACCGTCTTCCTGCGGGAACACAACAGGATCGCCAGGCAGCTCTCCGGACTCAACCCGCACTGGGACGACGATCGGGTGTTCTTCGAGACCAGGAAGATCGTCGGCGCGCTGATGCAGAAGATCACGTACGGGGAGGACCTTCCTCTCGTTCTCGGTCCGGCCGCTATGACCAAGTTTCACCTGACCCTCGGCAAATCTAACCTGAACCTCCGCCAGAGCGGGTTCTTCTCTGGGTACAACGCGAGGGTGAACCCCACCATCTTTAATGTCTTCGCCACGGCAGCCTACCGGTTCGGCCACAGTCTGGTTAACGAACGTCAGTTCCGCCTTACTCCGGACTTTGACCAGGGAAGCTTATGCCCGATTCAGCTGGCCTTTGCTTTCTTCAATCCATCCCACGTCCTCAACAACGACCAAGGCGGCCCGGACTCCATCCTACGGGGACTGACCGCCCAGCCCCATCAGGACTTCGACCGGTTCATGGTCTCGAGCCTGACGAAGCATCTGTTTGCGGATCCTCCCGGGTCTCTTGGCCTGGACCTGGCGGCGCTGAACATCCAGCGGGGCAGAGACCACGGGCTGCCCGGCTACAACGCCTGGAGGGTGATGTGTGGCCTGCCCAAAGCCAACAGCTTCGACGAACTGGTGTTTGAAATCCCAGACCGTTACATCCGATTGAGGCTGGAGGATGTTTACAGGTGCGACTTTTAACGCATGCTGATGTAAACGTGCACGTTACTCAGGTATGGAAGAGTGCCAGCGGATTCAAAAGTGTGTGCAGATCTGTACCGGTAACTTTGCATGTAAACTGTCTATAAGCATCCTGAAAGGACTGTTTTTTTAAATAATTTTTGCATAAAGATTTGAGGTAGTACTACTAATTCTGATGATGTATTTGCTCTTGTCACGCGTCAACCAACCGCGAATCAACGTTTCTCGAAGGGAAACACACTTTGAATCATGTTGATATATTGCCACGTTTCGTGGCTGTTACCCATTTCTAATGTTGCACGTTTTTCGTTTTGCACAGCCACGTGGACGACATCGACGTGTTCGTGGGCGGTCTTGCCGAGGAGTCCGTGCGGGACGGTATCGTCGGTCCAACCTTCGCCTGTCTGATCGGCCTGCAGTTCCAGGCCCTCCGCATGGGGGACCGCTTCTGGTTCGAGAACGAAGGACAGTTTACAGCAGGTCTGTGGACATGTTGTTACGAAGGACAGGATAGGATCAACAGAAGTATACCACTCTCTCTCTCTCTCTCTCTCTCTCTCTCTCTCTCATCTGTCCCTTAATCCAAACGTTTGTCCACTTGGCACCGCAGAAATCTGGCTACCAATTTTCTCCTCCCTTCTCCCTTCTACCAGTAATAAACTTGGTGTTCAATGTTTGTATGTAAGAGAGGAATTTACCACCATACTTTTCGCTCACTTTAAGTTACCGGAAGACCGGCCTGGCCTACTCCCTGGCCAGACAGAGGCCTTCTGTCCGTGGATGCATCTCAGAATGATGACATTAATTTTCTGTTTCCCTGTTTCCCCAGTCCAACTTGCGGAGATCAGGAAGACCAGTCTGGCCCGGATCCTGTGCGACAACACGGACGACACCACACACATGCAGCCGGACGTCTTCAGGCTGCCCACACAGCCTGGGAACGAGAGGGTGGCGTGCTCTTCTCTGCCCCAGATGGACCTGACCAAGTGGCAGGCGTAGGAAGTTTTCTTGTGTAGAATAGTCGGTTAAGTCCTTCCCAAAACCTTTATGCATTACACCAATTAACAACACCGTAAGATCTCTGATTAACCATGAATCCCAAATCCAGCTTTACTACATGTAAGTTGCCCTAAGGTTCCTATTTGGGCTGGTCAGGAACCAGCGAGGACCCTGCCACTAGTTTTCTATGTTCCGCACCGCTCTGTAAGAATCTTCTGAATTCAGTAGAAGTGATCCGATTTCTGATTTACTTACATGTCTCTCTATTGCATGGCAGTTGTGTTAGTAGAATGCATAGTTACAAAGTTTTAGCCGTAGTTCCAACATGAGAAGAAAGGCTTAAACTTTGTAACTATGTCTCTATATCATGTTCTGAAGGTTGCAGGCGAATTCTCGCGTGGAAGAAGAGACCGCCGTCAGGTCTGGCCGAGGACTTGAAGACCGCAACGCAAACGAAAAACTCGAGCGGTAAGCTAACATAAAAATAGTTCTTATGAAACTAACATCTTCACTACACCGAGATGCTAAGGAAAAAAAAACACAAGCAAGTGGCACAAAATAATCAGGTATTACCTAAAGCTTCAGAGGTCGACTCAACTTTGTAAACATTCAGGAAAGAACTATGGCATAAGCCATTTAAAACAGTAGACAGTTCATGGACAGTTCATTGTCCATGTTCATGACTTGTTCAGCAGGCGTACAAGGTATGAGATTGATCACGAGTCTTTTTTTGTTTACAAGGGTGGCTGAGGAAGCCCGCTCCATCCTTGAGCTGCTGGGCGGTGGGCAAAAGAACATCTTCCGGGAGGAGAACGCCAAGGCAATCCGCGAGAACCTAACCCCGCCGGAGGAGGACCAACCCCCGCTGGAGGAGAACCAACCCCCGCCGGACAACCTTCCCCCGCCGGAGGACAACCTCCCCCTCCCGGAGGAC